TATTTATTTTAAAAGTATTGCGACGTCATGAAAACACGTTTCAAACCACGTCACAATCAATGCACCCATGGTCGTCAACACATTTCGACTTCGTCGAGATTTGGATTAGGGTCGCATCAATGCGCACCCGAGTTTAAAGAAGTAATTTAATTAAATCGCGCCTAAAGGTTCTAACGTAATATTATTCTGGGGGAGGCCGTGAAGTTCGCTAAACGGCCCTCCCAAGTTCTAATCAGTTTTAACAACCATTTATTGAGGGCCCCACATTTATTTATTTTTATTCGGTGAGGCTCGTCTCAGTTTATGAACCTATTTTTTCGATCATCATTTATTTTATAAGAATTATGACGTCGTGAAACGCGTTTCGAACCACGTCACAATCAATGCACCCGTGATTGTCAACACATTTCGACTTTGTCGAGATTTGGATTTGGGTCACATAAATGCGCACCCGAATTTAGGAAAGTAATATTATTAAACACGCGCCTAAAGCGACTACGCGTTTGCACTTTGTGAGGGCCATGAAATTTACTAAATGGCACGTCTCGGAATCTAAGGATCAATTCCTGCTTAAAATGAGGGCCACGCAATTTGTCATTTTTGTTTGGCATGGCGCACCTCAAATTATTTTTCATAGCCACGATGTATAAAACGCGCCTAAAACATTCTACGTGTGCATGAGTTCTTTTCCTACGTTAATAATTAACAGCTCTTTTCAAGTCCAATAGTATATGCACCTTTTTTCTAGGACAAAGACATGTTAATACATATGGACTATATCATGAAATACTACTGACATGAAGAATATGGCAAATTTGGAATACTACTGCCATGAAGAATATGACAAATTTGGAATTCAACAAAATGACATACTTATCATAAAGCAAGAGATGATAGTATAATCACGATTTATTGATATTATTGCCATAATGGCATTTGTCTTGCTACTGTTAATGATAGCAATTATGCTAAATTATCACATTAATTGCTCCCTTTTATGGAATTAACGGGAAGGAAACAACAATTATCATAGATCAAAATAAGGCGATATAGCAAATATAATAGTAACATGGCAAAATCAATGATAGAAATAACATCTCAGTACATTTGCTCAAATAGCCAAAAATGAATCCCAACAGTGAAAACACTTGAACCAACTCAATGGCATTTCCGAACAAAAAAACAATACAGAAAGATCCAAGAAACAAACTTATTATAAAATTCAATCAACAAACTTATTATAAAAATACAAACAGTGAATCAACATTTAAAATGATTTCAAAGCGGAGATAGAAATTCATTCATCACTAAATATAACAAGATACAAAGGGGTTCTTTTGAATTTACCTCTTAAACAAACAAAGCGATAGGGCTCAACTAACAATTTCCAATACAAGACAGCATCAACTGACAGTAACGAAACCAGCAAAACGGCAGCAAAATTCGTAGTACTCGACAGCAACAATACAGCGAGATCAACTTTAAAAGTTTTCAACAGCTTTTAAACCCAGAAAATCATTCCCCAAACTTATTTTCAGATCTCTTTTTTGAGTTTCTTTTTTGAACTTTTGAAAGTTTTGTTTCTAGCTCTATGGTGAGCGATTTTTCGTGTGTAAGCTGTGAGTGGGAGGTGAGGAGGAAGAAAGCTTGGGTTTCTGCAAAGGGTCTCTAGTGTCAGTGAGTGAAAAAGAAGGAGGGGCCTTTTAGTACAGGGGCGTCGTTGCTCTTCTCCCTCTGGGTCTAAGGATCTGATCGTATTTTTTGTCTTTTTTTTTAATGTGAGGGATTTAGGGTATAAAGAGGGCAAAGGGTTAATGGGTCAATGTTCTGGGCCTTTAAAATGGACTAGGGATTTAAAATCAAATGGGTTGTTCCAAGCTGGCCCAGTCCGATTTTGAGCTACAAAATGGCCCTTTTGCTTNTTTCTTTGTTTTCTTTTCTTTTTTTTTCTTTTTGATTTTGAAATCCAATTAATTAAAATCCTAAAAATTTAAAAATCCTAAATTATCCAAAAGTGTGAAATTAAACTAATTAGATAATTATAAAAATTATAAACAACACTTAACTCTAAATTAAAAGAGATAAATCAATAAGCTAAAAATTAAAAGACAAAAATGTAAAAACGAGCTATTTTTTGTGATTTTCGAATTTCTATAAAACAAATAATTATCGGTTAGTTCTAAAAATATACAAACATATTCTAAATGCAATGCATGATATTTTGGTATTTTTCATGATTTAAATAAAATAAACGTGCATAGATAAATGCAAACAATTAAATAGAAATCCTACAAAATCCTATAAAATGGTAAAAATTGGAAAAAGTCTATTTTGTTTGATTTTATAAAAATGTAAGTAAAATAGAGTCCTACTATATTTCAAAGTTAAACTAATTAACTCCTAAAATTGTTTAAAATCTATTTCGTGACAAATTCAACAATTAACAATTAAAAATGCAAAAGTGGACTATTTTTGTTATTTTCTTTATATTTTGTTCTAAAACAAATTAACCCCTAATTAATCTTAAAATATGATGTTAAATCCTAAATGCAAATGCCAAATGTATATTTTCGTATTTTCATGTGAA